CCCAAAGGCGCCCCGGTTCCACGCTCTGCACAGGGACACCTGCCGCTACACCGGGGAGCTCAAAGCCTCATCCAGCCTGGCCTTGGAACGCTGCGAGTGATGGGGCATCCACGGCTACCCCAGCAACCTATCCCAGTGCCTCAGCACCTTCACAGGGAAGATTTCTTCCCAATATCAATTTAAAATCTGTCCTCTTTCAGTTTTAAAGTCATTCCCCTCGGCCTGCCACTCCATGCCTTTGCAAAAAGTCCCCCTCCATCTCTCTCACAGGCCCCCATAAGTAGCGGAAGCCTGCTCCGAGGCCTCCTGCAGGCTGACCGCAGCTCTCTGAGGAGATGACTCTGAGGGGGTTGTTTCTCTGTGGAGCTGCTCCGTGCCTCAGCTGCACCCTCGGGTCAGCCCAGCTCTGTCTGTCCCCGTGATGGACTGGAGAGCTCACTGCACTCCTCTGGGGAGCAGCAGCCAGACCCTGCCTGCAAACCATTTTCCAGAGCATCCCCCCTCCCCTCCCGTGGCCATCCAATGCCTGTGACTTGCTGGGACTCCTGGCAGACACGGACACAGCGAACATCATTCTTAGCCCTCTCTCAGAAGGTAAAATTTCTTACCCTCTTGCTTGTATGAACTAGATTGTGTGAACAGCACTGCTCAGCTCTGAAACGTTACAGCTGTTTTCATTAAAGCAAGTTGGCAAGACTGGCAGCTGGGCCAGTCTTTTACAAGTGCTCAAGCTCTGTCTTCAAAGAAAAATTTTCTGAGGTTAATCTAACTTCTAATTAATAATTGGCTTCTGTGGAAGACTCTTTATTCCAATAACAAGATGAACAAGAAGGGGAATGGTGTAATTCCTGATGAAAAGAAACCTTTTCCTCTCGACCATTTCTGCTTTAGTTTTTAAAGACAGAGGAGTAACCAACCTTTGTTAATGTGTCAGAAAGAGAACGAGATTTAACAGCATCAAAAACTCCATCAGAAGCTATCATACAAACCCTGTTAAGACCCCATCTGGAAAAGAGTGCACTTTTCTGTTAAAAGTCTGTACTAAAATGGGTTGGGTTGGGAGGAGCCTTAAAGACCATCTCGATCTCGCCCTCTCCCTGCTGTGGGCAGGGACACCTTCCACCAGAGCAGGCTGCACCTTCCACTCTGAGAGCAGGCTGCTCAGAGTCCCATGCACCTTGGCCTTGAACACTTCCAGGGCTGGGGCATCCACAACTTCTCTGGGTAACCCATTCCAGTACCTTACCACCCTCATAGCAGAAAATTTCTTAATACCTAGTGTTTCATCTCCTCTTGTAGGAAAAAAAAAAACCTGGAAGGCTAATACACAAGAACAGGGCAAATTGGTGTCAACATCATGTGCCCTAAAGAAGGCTAGAGCCTCCTTAAACAAATTTGTCAAAATAAAGGTAGAGAAAATATTAACTAGCTGTTGCAAATGCCTTAGGGGGTTGGGGGTTAAGTAATATGGGAAGGGAAAAACAAGAGGGCGAGCAGTATCAGCACAAAAATGAGATTAATATAAACTAACCAAGAAACAACTCAATTTGCGTTTGTAACCCCTGGAGCATGGGAAGAGCAGGATACTCGTCCTGTAAGAAGTGCAGGAGCAAACACCCCAGACAGACCCTATGAGATTTTAAGATAAAGCAAGGAAGAACTTAAATGATGCAGATGCCTGCCCCAGGACAAGACTGAGCTTCATATCTCAGGCAGCATTTTCCAGTCTTTCTCGCTATTTTGGTTTCTTGTGTGGCCTTGCAATGGAAGGCTAAAACACACCCACACCATTCCCAACCTATTTTGACTCTAAGTATGGCCAATCGTAGAGATATAGGTTGATTGAAATAATTAAATTCCTTTTTTAAACCTGATACAAAGATTTCTTCACCAAAAGAATGGTTAATGGATTTATTATCTAAACATTCACCTGAATGTTATTACCAAGATGGAAGCACATTTAAGAAAAGAAGTGGCAGAACTGGAGAAAATGGCACTGGACACGTACTCTGTGGCAACTGAAATAAAGGAAATCATCTCAAATGCAGAAAGTTTCAACACACTTACTGAATTTCAGAGTCAGATTGTGACTGTGGAGGAAAACCTTTGTTAGAACATGTGGAATGAGAAGAATCTGCCTAACAAGATGACATAGGAAAGACTGGAAATGGATGGGACTGTTTGAACTGGATCACATTAAGCAGGTTCCTGGCTGTAGCAAAGGGCTGGCAGCACCCTGAAGAATCTAAGTGCTGAAATCTGCTTCTAGCAACCTAGTTTTAGGAGCTGCTGTACATGATGTGCCACCATGCTGTAACTGTTGAGCCCAGCCTGTGTCCAAGTGTGCGGCTTAGGTGAAGTTTTTTCATATGCTACTGTTGTGAAAGGAAAGAGCCACATACTGAGAGCTGGCTGCTCCTCAGAACTGAGCCCTTTACCTGCCAGTTGTCCTCAGAGGGCACACACAACACTGTGATACTGGCATACACAGCAAATAAATAAAGAACAACTTCCAACTCCAGATTCTCAACAAAATTACCAGGTTCCTTGGCATCTTTACCCAGGTCAGGTCATTCCAAGATTTAATTCCAAAATTGTGAGGTTTAAGTTTCCTTTTTTTTCCCCCTTTTTTTTTTCAAGTTCAAAAGAGATGTTTACATTTTTATTCTTTGTAAGGGGATTACATACAATCTCACAGGAGTTGACCTTGCAGAAGTGTCACGTGAGACTTTCCTCAAACTTCTTTCAATCCTGGGAAGGACAAACTGTGTGGGCCAAGAGGCCACTTGTCCCAAGGATCAAGTGCTGCTGGAGGGAGCACAAACCTGGCTACAGCAAGGAATGGTATACCATCATCTCTCTCACTAACCCTGTTTTAGCAGACTATTAATTTAATTTGATGGTAATGTGGTTTTGACAAGTTGCTACTTTTTCCCCTAAATAAAGTTGCATTTTTAGAAACCTTCCCTTCTTCAGTACCCAAGTGCCCCACAATTAGAAATCTGAACTAGCTATTGCTGTAATTATAACCAAAAAAAGGGAGATGATCTCGTAGAGGTTTTAAATTTATTTCTAAATTCTTTTTGAGTAAAAGGCATAAAACTAATTTTAAAATATGATGAATTACATAACTAAATGGAACAGGCAGGGGATAACCAGGAATTAAGAGGAGAGGCACAGTAGGAATCCTACATGAGAAGATAAGTTTGTTTTCTGAAGTATCATACTGTTAACACTGTGAAATTAACAACACGAAAATTTTCCTGGACTCCTGCTGAGATGAAAGGCAGCAAGCAGATAGTTTTAATCTTAGAGAGAATTTATTCTTACATAGAGAGGCTCAAAATGCAGCTTTTAAGAGCTGCTGATAAAACATTGGCCTTCTCTGACTTTTTTATTCAAAGTACTTTATGTACTCAAAAAAAGAACCCACCAAACACCCTAGACATTATTTTTAACAGTATCTTCTGCAGGGTTCTGTTAGCCATTCTACACTATTCACCATTTTCAATACCCTTACACTACAGGTCTTGGAGAAAGTAGGGGCTATGCTTCATCTTGCAAAGAATCCAGCCTAAATCACTTGCAGGAAAGTGAGAACTGCAGTTTTAATTACATAAAGGCTCCAATTAACTTTTTGAGGTGGGAGCCCAAGTTCCTTACAACTTGACCCATGAATAAGGATTCTGTTTGGCATGAATGGTCTCCTTTTCTATCCCCTCCCACCAGTGTGGAGCTATAACACATCCAAGCAGAGCCATATATTTTTTAAGAGAAGCACAGGCTGCAGATTGTAAAAGGTGGCAAAGGTAGCTGCCTGTCAAAAGAAGTAAATGGCTACAGGGAAATGGGACACCAGCAAGCCTCAGAAATCAGATTTAAGTATAAGAGTAACCATTCTGAAATGCAGCAGCTCCATAGAGCTCACTGCTCCTTCAGAGGCAAATGCTGCCTGCTCCACAGGGGAACCCACCCATCTTCAGAAGGGTTTTAGAGATGCATTCCACTACAGGCAACATTTTATCTCCCTGTGTGGACAGTATCTTTTCCCAGTGTCTTAGCACCAGAGAAAGGTTTCTAAACCTTAAAGTATTTCAGTAGCAGTGCATCATATAGGGAAACACAGAGGAAATTTAAAAACAGTGCACTCAAAAGGCATTCAGACAACACACAGGGGTTTGGATTTTTTTATGAGATGTCAAGGCAAGGAAAATAGTTTGTTTATTTTGTGGAAAAGTGGAGTAAAAAGTGACGGCTATCTTCTTAAATTTAGGACAGTTGAGGATTACTACACCTCGTTCTGCTGACAATGCAGACACAATTAATGAGATTATTAATTAAGTGAATAGAAGTGGGGGTTTTGTTGCCACTAGATGGCAGAAAGAGCCCTTTTACACTCTGCTCACATCTACACCATTTTGAACATACCCTCACAGGACACCTAGGGGCCTATCTTCACCACTAAGATGCCGGATAAAAGAAAAAATCTATTCAATGACTACCAGTGCTAAGTAGATTAAAGTAGTTTTGGAAAAAATGTTCAGCAATATATAATTTTAAAAACCATCTGTTTACACTGGGTCCTTTCTGTAAAGCTGAGAAGCCTTGTTTGCAAAGAAATTAATTTTACTTCCCACTTACACCAAGTGCACAGGATTTACAACACTTCCAGCAGTACGATGGGAAGCAAAGTGCTAAAAATTTTCTGCAAATTGTTCACAAGAGATGCATAAACAGGTTCAGATTGAATTAATTGAAAGGAATAGCAGTTTTCTATCTGCAGCAAAGAGCTCAGCCCTGTTTCTACTGGGCTGCATTTGTTTTTCACACTCTCTCGAGGAACAGAAAGAATGGAGAAAAAAGCTAGCATATTTTTGATCAGTTCCTTGAACACCATACACTTTTATGCTTCATTATTAAGAGCATGAGCTGATCTGCATCTGTTTTCTATAATATTACACATTATGTTACACTGTGTCACTTCTCTGATTCACTTCAGGCTCAAACTTAGTAATTAAAAATCTGTCCAGCAGAAAAGCTGAAATGCACCAGCCCTTCACCCTCACTCATCCCAAGGACAGCACTGCATCTCTCAAGCTTGCAACATCCTTGACAAATGTGCTTCATTCCCCAGCTGTCACTCCCCAGCACAGCTTCTGCACCTTTCACAAAACCCTCCTTTCTCCTCCAGGCTAAGATAATATATTCCCATCTTGCTCTCACTTGGGTCTCTGTTGTCTCTTTTGTACATCTCCCAGCAAATTACTTTTCCCGGACGCAGAGCAGGCTTATCATCTCCCCATTCCCAGCCATTTACTTACATTTTATAGAAGCCATCACTTGTTTTTGTATCTTCCAAGAGATAAAATAGCTAAAAATTCAATGTGACAGGTAAGTTTTCCTCCTTATGCAGTTCCAGTTCATCTGTCCATCTATTGTGTAACCAAGTCTCCTGAGCAGCTGCAGCCTTACCTATACTCACAGAACATGAATGTGCATTAAGTCATAAATTCTTCACTATGTCTGGAGTAATCTCTGTTGTTAGTCAAGATACATGCAGAAAGCAGTATCATG